TTTAAAAATTCTAAAAATATATTAAAATAGATATTCTAAAAAAATAAAATAAAATTCTAAATAAATATTAAATAAATCCTAATAAAATCATAATATAATCTTAAATAAATCTTAATCAAATCCTAATCATATCTTAATGAAATCTTTTAAAAAATTCTAAATAAATCCTAAATAAATTCTATTAAATCCTTAAGATAATTTTTAAATTATAATAAATATTAATTAAAATATTAATTTTTATTAAAATAACTTTCATATTTCAATATTCAAGTGAACTATAAGCACACAAAGTTTAAGAAAAATCAAACTTATTCATTGGAAAAAAGAGCTCCGAATACTCTCAAGTGTCAACCATCTTTCTTCTCCAATTTACATGTTGACCTTCTAGCAAAGATTACTTATTCTTAAACCATACAATTTCTTTGCATATAAGCAAAATTATACAAATCTAAGTCTAATATGCTCTAATAAAAAAATTCTTCAATTGAACTACCAGATTTTTCAAAATGACAAAAAATCTCAATAATCCTATAATCCAATATTCCAAGACCTTAATCTATTTAAATTATCATATCTTTTAATCTCAGAGTTTAACTGATCTTATATTTTTAAAAGATATTTAAAAATCTATAAAACTTTATTTATACTTTTTCTATGATAAATAAAAATTCTTCAACTATGCAAGTCTCTTTTTATTTCTCAAAACTCAAAATCATCAAAAACATTTTTCACTTTGGAAAGCTCTTAAAAACTCAATATCTATCTAATCACTTAAAGCCAATGCTAAAAACGTCCCTCTAAAGTCTGTTTTGCAATCTTTGGGTACCAATTTTTAAGTTTTCAAGGTAATTTTTGCTATAATCTACTCTGAATTCTTTCATCAAGTTGTCTATATGATTCATTTTTTTCTTTTACTTTCTTTTGCCTTATTTATGGCCATGAAAAATAAGTAGAATTCTATTTTAATAAAAGAAATATTAGCATTTAATAGTTTTTCTAACTCTTTTAGCTTTATCTATATTTATAAATTAATTTATTATAATATTTTCAATTAAGTTCTTCTATAATAGAATCTTATTTTTTTTCTTTCATCTAATAGTTGTATTTCAATACAACATTACTTTTTATGGAACTTGTTTCTAAATGAGATGTAATGTTACAAACATAATGAGACAAGTAATTATTTAGATAAGAAAAATTATGTAGAATAAGTAGAAGTAGGTAAATTAGATAATGTCTTATGGAAAAGCTTCTTAGAAGCTTTATAAATAAAATTTTGACTTTGTAAATATTTATAAATGATTGATAGATTAAAAACTTGGCCAACAAGTTGACTAAATGTTATACATATTAACCACTTATATTACAATTTGGCCAAATATTACACATTTTGGTTACTTGTGATACAAGTTAGTCATATGACACACATATTGGAAACTTTCCTTGCAAATAGACATGTGTCAAAATGAACATTGCTACATCACTCTTTAGTTAAATAATATATATAGAAGCAAAGGCCTTTCTCACTTTCATCAATTCTTTTTTTTTTCTTCTAATTTAATTTCAAGAACCTATAGCTTTTTGTCTATGGCATTAGGCATTCTAATTTCTTCTTAAATATACATATTTATTTATTTTTTATCATCTTTCTTTGAGACACATCTCATATATTTAATTACATTCTTCAAGTTCTTGTCCTTGATACATATTAGCTTCTCCAATCATTATCTATTCTAAAATAACTAAAGTCATTAGTTTCAATGTACTTTATTATGAAACTTTTATTTTAAGTTTATGTAATTCTATCTTTTATATAGTATTTTTTTAAATTAAAATAATAAATATTACATCTTATACAAAAATTATTATTAATGAAAAAATGATATTTTAAAAATATTATCCATAAATATCATAAAATTTTAATTATTATTATATTTTTTTAAAGACCCTAATTTACTCTAAAATCTTAGAAGATGCTCATTATAATTTTAATAGTTCATATCAAGTTGTTTTTTTAAAAAATATTTTAATATAATATATAAATAAAATTTATAATGTAATTATTTTAAAAATATTTATACTATGCTATTATATCATTTTATAATTTTTTATTATGCTAAAATTATTTTATGTAGCAACATAATATGTTATTATATTTAATAAATATTATTTGTTTTTTAAAATATTTTTGATTTTAAAAAATCAATAGTTTTTAATTTTTAAAATTTAAGGACCTAATAGTAAAACAACTAGAAAGTAGAATATCAAAGATTCACCATGTAATAAAGATATAACCAAAAAAACATCAACAACCAAAAATTTCAATTTTTTATTTAAAGTTATTGATGACTTGTAATTTTATACTAATAAAATTAAAAATTTTGAATTTTTCTTAATAGCTTTTTAGCTGTTCAGACTATTTTTTATCTAAAATTTAATCAATATAGTTACATATTAATTGTATTTTCTAAAATAAATAAATATTTACAAAATCAATAAAAGTTCTATCTCTCTTTAAAATTTATAATATTTTTTAAATATATGAAAAGATAAAATTATTATAAATTTAAACTAAAATATTAAACTATTAAAATATTAAAGAGAAAATATTCTTTAATTTAAAGTAATATAAAATATATATATATATATATTATATAAATATTAAAATATGATATTAATGAGCATATGCTAATTTTATCTAAGAATATTATTAATGTATTAGACTATAGTATAATATTAGAGAGTATACATCATTGACATCTATTCAAAATTAAAATCAATCATTAACAATAAGATGTTATTAGTTAAAAAGAAACAAGTTTAATAATTAATTTTTGTATCTACTTAAAAATTATCACTAATTTATATAATTAAATAGAAAATAAACAGGCAATGAATTTGTTTCAAAGAATATTATTTTTTAAAAAATTAAAAAATTAATAATTTAATTTCAATCTTCAATATATCAAAATTTAAATAAAGAACTTCGAAAAAAACATGATCCTCTTTAAATACATAATAAGACACAATACATGTAATATTATAATTTTAAAAAAGAATATTAGTGCTTTATAAAACTATATGTGGTAGATAATATTTTTGATGTTATTTAAAATTTATTATTTGAAGGTGCTTATAAAGCTTGAATAATGATCAAGTAATTTAGTGGTCTTTCTATTTGAACATATAATATTATTAATATTTTAAATAATATACCAACCACTTTTGTACAAATCATATATTATATTTTTGTAGCAAACCTTAATTGAAAAATCTCAGACTTATCAATTTGTAAAATATTTTAACTATTTCTGATGAGATTTTTTTCTAAAAAAGACAAAATGTATTACTTCGAAAATTATAATCAAATATAAGTAGGAATTTTTAATTAATTTTGTACTTAATTTTTAAAAAAAACCACCAAAACTTTATAAATACATATTAGATCTATAGATTATCTTAGATATATCATAAATATAGATATATCTTAGATATATCTTTGCTATGAAAACTTTCTCTAAAAGATATCTGCTTTTAAAAAGCCATTATATAAACAACTAATAACTTAAATTTATGACTAATAAACCTTATAATTTTTACAAAACTTTTACATGTATTTTTTATATTTTGATCTCTATTTAAGATTCTTTTGTTTCATTGTATTTGACAATAGCCATTTTTTTTTAGTTATATCTTTATTTATGAGTCTTCTTTGATTATTAATTCTTTTCTTTTCATTTATACATTAGTATGTTGTTTCTTCTAATGTATGTCTAGATTTGTGTCCTTAATATAATTATTAGATGAATAGATTTTTCTACCATCAAATAGAGTTTAAAAGATATATATATATATATATATATATATATATATATATTGTATCAACTTTTTAATGAGTATTTGGATTTTTTAATACATAAAAAAATAGATCATTAAATTTGTTGCAAAATTTGAGAAGGATGACATTCCTTTCAAAGAGGAATTGATGTGACAAACAAATAACAAATTATATCCTCAAATATACTTAAGAATATTTATTAATCTTCTCAAATATTCTGGGTATTCATAATACTTTTAATGGTTCTTTAAAAATCTCTAAAAATATATTTAGTAGAATTTTAAAAAGTTTATAATTTTTTAGAATTTTTTATGATATTTTTAGTCTATTAGAAACTTTATATTCTTTTAAAATCATAATATATATATATATATATATAATCTTTTAGAAGATTCTATAAACTTTATTTAACATTCTACAATTTTAGAACCTCACTTATAAGACTTTATAGACCAAGATGTTATAACATGAATAAAATGAAAAGACATATGTTTTTAAATTTTGCTAATAAAAGTTTTAGAACAATCCAAGTATTATTTTATTCCTATCTTATATCTAAGTATTATTGTAATCAAATATATTTTCTACTCTTACGATTCTTGAATTTTTTACCATTTTTCAAAAATACTCATTAAGTAGCATCTTTTTGATGTAAATGAATTTATTGAAACCAAAAAAGTTACATTTTGTAAAACTTAATTCACTGTCACAAACATGAAACAGTCTTGAAATGCTAAATAAAAATAAATTAAGACCCAAAAATATGAATGAACCTTAGAACAATGTTTTGACATTGTAATACACTTTGTATGCACACATGATAGCAACGTCACCCGATTTTGCCTCGTAGGATGAAATCATGAATGGATTCAAAAGGGAAAAGAAGCAGAAAACATAAAAAGAAAAGTGAAATGAAATCCCGTTCAAGGTGGTCATTTCAGCATGTCAGAAACAGGCATGGAGGAAGGCATTCTGGGAAGGAGGAACACACAAGCAAAGAAGTCAAGCAAAGGGGACTCTCGCTGATGATGAAGGGGATGGCTGCGGTGCTGCTGCTGCTGGCCGTGTTCCATGGAGGAGGAGGAGGAGGCTGCGATGCCTTGGTTGGGACGCCGGGGGGGTGTCAGAACAATCCCTTGGGTGAGGTGGGTTGAGTTGGGATGGATGGGTTGCTGCTCCACCTGCAGCAGCAGCGGCATGGTGGAGCATGGTGGGAGCAACATTGAAGAAGAACGGCATGGCTTCCACTGACGCCGAGGTGACGCTCTAGACGAGGTGGGCGAGAGGAACGAGGCATTGCCCTTGCCGCTATCGGCCATTCACACATGCGTAATCCAGCACACCCAGTTTGTATTATAATCCCACAGTCGTCTGCTGCGTTGCAGGCTACTGCCTGCGGAAAGATAAGTTGCTGCAGGGGCGTTGTACTTGCGATTTGGACTTGCCGCTAGCTCCCTTTCTGTTGGCGTTGTGGCCAGCTTTGAGGAGCCTGCTTGAGGTAGCCGGGACAGCTTGTGGTCCAACCCAGCTCTGGTACTGGCTGCCTGTTTGGTTGCACTTCTATCTCTGTAGTGGGCATCGACCTCTTTGTAGGCAGACGGGTGATAAGTGCCGCGGGAGGTTGGTTGTGTGTTAGTTTGAGTTTTGGGCTGTCGGTGCTTTGGAGTCCGAGCTGAAGGCATTAGCTGCTGAAGTGAAGTGGTCCTGGTGGCTTGCAGCGGGGGAGAGTGTGGAGTTGCAATTGATGGTCAGCAGCTAGATGATAGAAATTGAAGCTCCACATTGTCGTGGTGAGTAATACTCGAGCTTGGTGCTTCTGTATGCTGAACAAGGCAACTCTCCTAATTGCAGAATCCGTTGCTGGCCTTTCTTGGGCACTTCAGGAGACAGAACTCTGGCTCTTCCGTTTGAGCTCTTGTTTCCCTTCCCAGTCTCTACTGGAAAGCCATTGCCAACATTGATTACTGCGATAATTGAATTTTTTGTCTTATACATTTAAATATTCAAGATTCGTCGCTGTTAGTGGCCATGTCCATGCTTGAAAGGTTTTGAGAAGTGTAGTAGGCGTGGAGATATCTTCGGCCAAGTTTTTTTTTTTTTTTTTTTTTTTTTTTTTTTTCCCGAGTGGTATTCTGCTACACTCATTACTGGAAATGAGCACCTTACATTTATAGTGAAGAGGTGAACCAACAGATGCATTGCGCGAAGGGTTTGTAAGGTCTAACGTTGTAAAAGTTGTGATCTTAGTGCAGGTTTCCGTTGAACTGCAGTAGTAGTTGAAGCTGTCGAAGCCTGCATCGACCTTCAGGATCATGAAAGAATCTCGGGTAGAGGCAGACGAATTGTCTCGCACTTGGAAAGATATGCATTCCTCCAGACCAAGGATGTCATGACAGTATTCTAGCCCCCTCTCTGCCCAGCAAGCTTGTACGACTGCAGCAGATCGTCAGAGATGGCCAAGGGAAACCGTGATCGGGAGTCAAGTACGGCCAATGTCGCAATCTTATTTATGGTGGTCCTGTTTTTCGTTTGCTCAGCAGGCCAGGACTTAGCAGCTGACACGAGAGCTCTTATCACATTCAGAAACGTGTTCGACCCCAGAGGAACTAAACTGAACTGGATAAACACGACCTCAACATGCAGCTGGAATGGTATAATATGCTCTCGAGACCGTGTCACTCAAGTTCGGTTGCCTGGTGAGGGGCTCACAGGCATCATACCTTCCTCCAGTTTGAGCTTGCTCTCAGAGCTTCGAGTTGTGAGCCTGCGCAACAACCAGTTGACAGGTCCATTTCCTGGCGAACTGGGAAATTGCAACCATGTGCATGCACTCTACCTCGGGCGCAACGATTTTTATGGACCCGTACCAAATCTTACTGGATTCTGGCCCCGGCTCACGCACTTGAGCTTGGAGTACAACAGGTCAGCTATAATTTTCTTTTTTGCGTCTCATTTTTTTTCATGTAGTACCTCGAATTTCTGACTGTGGATCGCTTGATGGGTTGTGATTTGTTTGTTCTTATCCGGGGCTTCTCTCCTAATGGTATTGACTGATTCGCTAGTTGTACTTTTGTAATTTCAGGTTTAATGGGACTATTCCGGACGCGATTGGCCTCTTCACACGCCTTCACTTGCTGAATCTCCGCAACAACTCCTTTTCCGGAAGGATTCCTGACTTCAATCAGGTGAACTTAACGCTATTTGACGTATCCAATAACAACTTGTCAGGGCCTGTACCAGCAAGTATATTCAGATTTGGCTCAGATCCTTTGCTGGGCAATCCTGGCTTGTGCGGTTTCCCTCTCGCCACCGTGTGCCCGCTGGCAATAGTACCGAGTCCCATCCCTACTACCGAGCCAGAAGCGGGGACGACAGTGAAGCAAAAGCTGCTATCGTCTACTGCTTTAACAGCCATCATTGTCGGTGGAATTGTATTGCTAATACTCTTGATCATCGGGCTTTTTTTATGCTTTTGGAAACGAATCAAGAATTGGCGGAGTTCTTCGGAACCTGCAGGACCTAGGAAAGCTCGTGAGAAAGCGCGCGACAAGGGTGTTGAGGAACCGGGAGCGGAATTCTCCAGCTCTGTTGTAGGGGATCTGGAGCGCAACAAATTGGTCTTTTTTGAAGGGAAGAGGTTCTCATTTGATCTGGAGGATTTGTTGCGCGCCTCGGCCGAGGTGCTGGGCAAGGGAAGCGCAGGAACGGCATACAAAGCGGTTCTCGAGGAGGGGACCATCTTGGCTGTGAAGAGATTAAAAGATGTGTCCATTAGCAGGAAGGATTTTGAAGCACAAATTGAAGTAGTCGGGAAGCTGCAGCACCGGAATCTGGTGCCTCTTCGTGCTTATTACTTTTCCAAAGACGAGAAGCTCTTGGTATATGACTACATGTCTATGGGAAGTCTTTCCGCTCTCCTTCATGGTGAGTTCTTTTGACACGGTGACATTTGGACATGTATTTCGGCACACTAAGCAAGACACCTTGTAATTGATGGATTTCTTAAGATTTGTGACATAGCTTATCTGCTACATGTTTCGCAGGCAACCGAGGCAGCAGCCGCACACCTCTGGATTGGGTGACCAGAGTAAGAATTGCACTTGGAGCTGCAAGAGGACTTGCATATCTGCATGCTCAAGGAGGATCCAGATTCGTGCACGGAAATATCAAGTCATCGAATATTCTTCTAAACAGAGATCTAGAAGCTTGTATATCAGATTTTGGGCTGGCACAGTTGCTTAGTTCTACATCTGCCTCTTCTAGAATAATCGGTTACCGAGCACCCGAGATCTCCGAGACTCGTAAAGTGACTCAGCAGTCCGATGTGTACAGCTTCGGAGTGGTATGTCTCCTTGTACCATAATCACTCTCTTCAAGTCCACGAAAGTCGTGTCCCTGTCTTGTAATACTCTCCACGTCCTTCAGTAACCGTTCCCATTCTGTTGGTTTTGTAGCTACTGCTGGAGCTTTTAACCGGGAAAGCACCGGCTCAAGTTTCGATGAACGAAGAAGGCATCGACCTCCCAGGCTGGGTGCAATCCGTGGTTCGAGAAGAATGGACAGCTGAAGTATTTGACCTGGAGCTGATGCGCTATCAGAACATCGAGGAAGAAATGGTGGGTATGCTGCAGATTGCCATGCAATGTGTTGACGCCGTTCCCGACCGGCGTCCGAAGATGGCCGATGTGCACCTTCTTCTCGAAGATGTGCATCCTTTTTCCTCTGACACTGGCGACGAAGCATCTCGACAGTCTGAGAGCGTCTCCGAGGAAAAATCGAAGGGTAGTGAGAAAGACCAGGACTCGGTGGAAAACACCCCGTCCTTTCACCAGACGCCGTCAGCCCCATCGTCTGATTCTCACAATCCTTCCGAGCGCCCTGACGTGTAGAGAAATCCGATTCCTCTGTGTTTTCCTTTTGTCGAGCTTGTGGCATCGAGACTCATTGACAAATTGTTGTTGTAGTAGTAGTAGTCATTCGCATGTTGATCGGATGTACATAATGTGGACGACTGACATCATTGGTGCGATCTGATAAACAACATTCAAGCCGAGACTGATTGTTTTAATAATAAGTTTGTGTAATTGATTCATTATTGAACATTGCTGTCAATTACTACCGTCGCTTCCAAAAACCAATCCCACTGAATTCGACCGATGTACTCACAGATTCAGCTCATGTCGGACTAAAAACTGTCTCTCAAATTACTACTGCACGAAACTTATCTTCTATTAATTTTCAAGGAAGGTGTGGAGCAGAAACAAAGAACTGCCGAGAAATAGCGACACCACAGCAGCCTTGAAGCTCTTCTGCCACAAGCTGGTCCTCTTTAGTACAACTGTCACTTCTTCCATATATGCAACCTTTGTATTCAGCACATGTGAACTCGTAACCTGTTAAGGCAGCCTCTCTTGCTCACCAGCCACATCACACAACGGATCTAAAAACAAAATCATTGAAACCTTTGTTTTATCTGCCGAGTGTGATGGTGGTAGTTCATCGATATGAAGGCTTTCCTTCACTAAATTAAGCATCTGCTACTCTTTCTGGCTCTGTTTTAACGGACTTCTTCTGCATATATTTAGCCATCGTTAGCTTGAATGGGTGGCGCCTATGGAGGAATGATCATCCAACTTGTTCAACCTCATCTGTGTTTTTGTAGGTTTTCTGGTAGAATGAAGCCAGTGTTTTATTTTGTATTATATGCGATTTCATGTAGTAATACATGCAGACTTTTGTCTACGCTTTTGGATTGAATTCCCAAGTGATTGTCTATTGGAGTATGTTTGTTAGTGGTTTTCACTGCTGTTGGAGAATATTATTTTATAATTTTCTATAGAGTGGAAGCATTTTTAGAATAGATTTTCAGTTGCATTCAGAATAGGAGTTAGTAAGATTATGTAAGAAAGAAAAAAAAAGAAAGAAAAACCTCATTGCGAAGATTGTAAGTGTGGATTACCATGACTGTCATAAATTCAATTACAAACTTTCTTTTTTCACAATTGTTCAAGATTTATCTATGTTTACACACACACACACACACAAATATATATATATATATATATATATATATATATATACATTTCTGGTTTGATTGTTTACATAGAATTCATTGTACTCCAATACATTTATAAGTTTGTATATTCAAGCAAAAGAATTGATTTGTCTATATACGAAACAAATTTTATTAAATGGTTCAAAAAATAATTATCAATATAATCGTATTTTAATCTTATTTTAATCTCATTTTAATGTGATTTTTGACATCATTAACTGAAAACCTTAAAGAATTTGTTTTAATAAAAAAGTAGACTTTGTTAGTTATAAGTATTTCTGGAAAAGTGTCAAATATCTTGAAAATCATAAAATGTCATCAGTGAAACTAAGATTATAATGTACTGTAAAAATACATTGAAACATTTGTAATGATTTTTCAAAATGTGTATATATATATATATATATATATATATATAATACAATTTTTTCATTTTAATACATATGTTAAATAATGAAATTATATTTGGTAAAGATAATTATGTTACATGTTTGCAAAATTTTAAAGAAATTTTAATTAAAAACTTGAAAAATTGCAAATCTTGTATTTTATGTATTATTTGAACATTTTAATTCAAATTTAATATGAAATTGAAAAAAAAATAGATAAGACATAAAAGAAAAAAAAGGAATTCAAGTAGAAAACATATAGTACAATAAAAAATATAATTTCTATTAATTCTACCTTTTATACAGATATAGATTTCTCAAAAAAAATTTAAACTTTTTAGGAAAAAAGCATGCATGGTTTTTTGAGAGAAAGAAGTTATTCTAAGACAATCAATCAGCTATTTATTGATTTAAATTTTAATTTGAAATAAAATTTTGGTGTCTTATACGTGTTTTATATTGGTATCCAAAAATAATTATTTTTTATAGTCACAATATCACAAGTATTTTTAGTTTATTTTTTGATAAAAACATTTAATAAGTAATTTTCTAAAATTTGATTATATATATATATATATATATATATATATATATATAAGAAATGACGCTTAATGCTGGGGGTTTTTGACACAAATATCAATGTCTTTGTTTTTAGCATAACATAAAAAATAAAAAATAAATCAAGCAATTAAGAAGAGCCACATGGTATGATTTTTTTCCATAATTTTAAAGAATAGTTTAACATATACAATAAGTAATCAATTATTTACAGTGATATTGTATTTTTTTAAAGTGATATATATATTTTCATTTATTATTCCTTATAAATTAAATAATTCTGATGAATTTTAAGTCATTATAAAAGGATTTTTATATTTATTTTTATTTATTTAATCATTCATTACTGCATCAGTCAAAAAGCAATCTTAATCTGAGTGTTACATCTTTTTAAATTTTGTAACAAGTTAATCTCAACCAATGTGAACTTTAAGTCATGTAATTATTTATTTTTTAATTTTAATATACTAATGACAAAAAATAGATTTAAGTTCATAGCAATTGTGACTACTTGCCTTTGGAAATTGAAGTAAAGTCAATATTTTAGCACCATTTGCACACAACTCAAAATTATTAGTAATGAAAAATGAATGATAATTATATTTATAATTTTGTTTTTTTTTTTCATAGATGGGAAAAGTAAAAAAGTGATAGAATAAAAAGTACAAGTTTGTTAGAGTGATAATGTTTTTCATTCCCTTTTTTCTTTGATCCTTGTTTTTATTTTCAATTCTTCCAAGTGGTGCCACCCTAAAATTAATGATGGGGGTTTCCTGCGCTACCCTCGAATTATGCAGAATGTCCAACGAAAAGCGAGGATGCCGTTAAAGTCGATGAACGAAGAATGACGAGGACGAGGACGAAAGTTGGGTGAAGTGGACGGACGAAAGTGGATCCATGTCTACTCTGCATCGTGAGAAGACGCGGATGCGTAATATCACGAAGCGCCGAAATTTAGAAACTTGTGGGAGACGATGGGCGTGGATGCGTCGGGAAAAGCTCCGGGATCGCGAGGGAATTGTCGACCCTGGTTGAACTCTCGCATGCGAGTCATCATCATCGATAGAACGATCGATCGATCAATCGATGCAGGGGGATTCATCGTCGTCTGCTGTGGTGGATGGGAGCCTGGGTCAGGGCCATCTCGCTCCAACTTTTCGGTCTCCCCGTCACTGCATTGCGCCCACGGCTCACACTATTTCTGGAGGCGAGAGTGTGCTCTCAAGGCTGGCATTGGGCGCCACACTTTACAGCAATAGGGGTCCGGATTTGGAAATGCCTTCGGACGCACACACGGATGTCCCTCCGTTTGTGGGCTCTCCACTTCCAATCTGGGTTCCTGCCATCAGCGATCCAGGGATGGTTGGACCAGCCGCCGGGGGGGAGGGGGTGGGGCGGAGAGACAGCAGCAGAGCCATGGTGCTGTTGTAGGGATTCCCTGATGGAGTTGCAGTTGTGGGTTGTGACAGCAGGTGGGCGATGACAACCTTCGGCAGCTGCATTCCATCGCGGTTTGTTGAATTTGGGTGGGAGTTGCGGAAGCCTGGGTTGGAAAGAGGCAGGATTTTGGAAGAGGGGTGGCAATGTGTCCGTCAATGAGCAGGAGACTCGAGAATGTGTGCTGAGGGACGGTTGCATGGGTGCTGGAATTCTGATCCCTGTGCTATGGAAATGCCAGACCCTTATGCCGGCGGAGTTTCAAGCTGTTTTGACCTCTATTTACAATTGGCGGATCTCATGAGGCGTCGTTGAGTTGTAGCGCAGCCCGTGGTTGTCATTGTGGTATGTGTACTGCGGAATTCTAGCTTATTTAGGTCAGCTTCCGTCTGTTGTTGCTTTCAGGTGCATGCGTTCGAAAGGGCCCATTAGCTAGCTCTCGTAAGTACTTTTCAACCCACTACGCATGTACACACTCTTTTCAAACCTAAGGCTAGTTTTTGTTTCCTCGTTGTAGTAGCGTCAATACGATGGAGTACATGCAAGCAGGTCGGGTTCCAGGTTGATGGAAAGTGACGGTCCTTCCCTCTCGAAGATGGCCGAATCGTCCTGGGTACTAAATTTTGTGAGAATTACTGATCAAACTAATTGATCTGCTGGTGATTGTGCCGCCAAGCAAAAGTGAGGAACACCAAACCTGAGATTTGAGAAGAGCTATTATAGAGATGGAGGGGTATGAAGCTGGCGGATGTGGAATTCAATGCTAGAATCTCCCTACTTGGAAGGAGCTAACCACCTTCTGAAGTTGGAGACATTCAGAATGATATTCTGTTTTGGCGCACCCTTGTGAGAATTTTGCAATTTGTTAGAAATGACTAAGAGGAGGCATGAACCAGAGTTGAACATGATTAAGATGGCAACTGTCTTGGTGGCCGTCCTTAGCATGGTTTCAGTGGCAGGCCAAGATTTAGAAGCTGATAGAAGAGCACTTCGCATCTTCAGCGACTACCATGATCCAAAAGGGACGAAGTTTAACTGGGTGGACACTACATCGCCTTGTAATTGGGCTGGCATAACCTGCGCCGAGAATAGGGTGACAGAATTCCGATTGCCGGGTAAAGGGCTTCGAGGGATTATACCACCGGGGAGTTTAAGCTTGCTATCCAATCTTGAGATTGTGAGTTTGCGTGGCAACAAGTTGTCAGATCTGTTTCCTGGCGCAGAGCTGGGTAAATGCAAGAACTTGAAGGCATTGTATCTGGCAGGCAACGGCTTCTATGGACCTCTACCAGATGTCGCCGAACTGTGGCCGCAGTTGACTCAATTGAGCTTGGAGTTTAATAGGTGAGATTTTAATTCCTGCTGGAGGCAACTTCTAAGATGATCAGTCAGGTTCGATTTTGGATGTTCTATTTCAATGTTAAATTGTCAAATTTCTCTTCAGCAATCGTAGTTTTCCTGTTATTCGGATAGCCAGCTCATATGAATTCTATTTGTATTCAGGTTGAACGGCACCATACCGGAGTCGATCGGGAAACTCTCTCAGCTTTACTTGCTGAACCTCCGCAACAACTCATTCTCGGGAAGCATTCCAGTCTTGAATTTGGCGAATTTGACGATATTCGATGTTGGTAACAACAATTTATCTGGAGCTGTACCAGCACTCCTGTCCAGATTCCCTGTCGATTCCTTCGTTGGCAATGCCGGTCTCTGCGGTCCACCTCTTCCATCCTTATGTCCATTCTCAAGCGGACAATCTGCAACATCGTCGAATGGCAAGAAGAGGCTGTCAACTGTCGTAATCGTTGGTATCGTCTTGGGATCAGTAACATTTCTGATTCTTGCGCTCGTAGCACTTTTCTGTATATTCCTTAGAAACAGCGGACAGGAATCTTCTTCAGAACCTGAACTTCGTGAGATTTCGCACGCGATAACCCCTGACATCTCCCGTGACAAGCTGCGTGAGAAAGGACCCGGGGACAATGGAGATGAACATGCCGTCTCGGGGGCAGGGGAGCAGGGGGCCAACAGGTTGATATCCTTCTCCCTGGTCTCATTTGATCTAGATGATTTGTTACGAGCATCGGCCGAGGTGCTGGGCAAGGGCACTGTGGGAACTGCTTACAAGGCGATTTTGGAAGATGGAACGGTCATGGCGGTGAAGAGGTTGAAAGACGTGACTACGTGCAAGAAAGACTTTGAAACATTGATCCAGGTTGTAGGAAAGTTGCAGCATCGGAATCTAGTGCCCCTCCGAGCATATTATTTCTCCAAAGATGAGAAACTTCTAGTTTCTGATTACATGCCGATGGGCAACCTCGCTGCCCTTCTGCACAGTAAGTTTCTACCCTAATCACTAGTTTTTATTTTGGGATGTTATCATATCGAGTAGGTTTTAAGTAATACTCCATACCATTTTGTGTTTGTCAGACAATCGAGGCAAGAATCGCACACCGGTGGATTGGCTTACAAGAGTCAGGATCGCAATAGGAGCTGGCAAGGGACTTGCATATCTGCATTCACAAGGAGGACCCAGTTTTGTGCATGGGAACATCAAGTCGTCCAACATTCTGCTCAACAGAGACCTAGAAGCTTGCATCGCCGATTTCGGACTCGCACAATTATTGAGTTCTTCCTCTTCTGGTTCAAAAATGGTTGGTTACCGAGCACCTGAGGTCAGCGCAACTCGCAAAGTGACACAGAAGTCGGATGTGTACAGCTTTGGAGTGGTATGTTCCATTCCTGCAGTCCTATCACTCTTCATGACCATGAAACTTCAATTGTGGCTACTGAGCCTCTGTAAATTACACACCTAATATTCCAATTCTTGGTTTTGCAGTTACTACTGGAGCTTCTGACTGGGAAGGCACCGACGCCAGCGTCTTCCAATGATGAACCCGTCGACTTGCCACGCTGGGTGCAGTCCATCGTCCGTGAAGAGTGGACAGCCGAAGTGTTCGACCTAGAGCTCATGCGCTACCAGAACATAGAAGGAGAACTGGTGACCATGTTGCAGATTGCAATGAAGTGTGTAGATCCTGTGCCTGAGCGGCGACCAAAGATGCACACCGTGGTATCCCAACTTGAGGAAGTGCACCCATTCTTCATCGAGGACACTGCCGAACCGTCTCGACAGTCCGCAACCATTTCGGAGGAGATCATCAGGAACAGTGACGACGACTCCAGGAGCTCTCCTCGCACGCCTCCCACTCCACCCACTCCTGGCACTCCCACTCCACCCACTCCTGGCACTCCTACTCCACCCACTAGTCGCACTCCTTGACAGTCTCTTCATCGCCGCTCCGCATCATGTTGCAAGTGAGATCATCGTCATCACCATCACATATCACGCCACTCACTGTGGGACTGTGAGCATCCATGCACACGTCGATCGACAGGGACCCCATTGTGACCCGCTCAACTCATTCTGAGCCGATTGTCCCTAGTCTCCTTGCCAGACCAAACCTCTGTAGTCGATTGATGTCTGCTTTTGACTGCAGTCTGGATAGAAACAGAGGCAGCCATTCTTGCCACAGTTGATTCTCCAGGTGATGAACACCAATAAAAAAGAACAGAAGGTTGGTCTGTAAGGGAGAGCGTTAAAACAGGAGGGCCTGTTTTGTTGATCATCTAGAGGCCACTTGAATTTGTCGCCCTGTGAGTGTTGACAGGCTTCCCTTCGCCGTGTATTGCTCTCTCTCTCTCTCTCTCTCACCTGCTGTTCAATGCTGGTGGATGTAAAGCTGGCTGCTCACCTCATGTGTAACTTTCTCCCTCGCCCACTTCCTAAGCCCCGCATGGTGGTTGGTTTCATTTCTCCATTCCTTTGTTCGACTTATTTATTGTTCTTGTTATCACCAACTCTAGAGATTTTTATCTCTTATGACACATTCTGCGTCTTCTAGAAATGCCTATGACGCTGAATTTGAATAGGCTTGTCATAATTTTGGAGTTAATTTCACGCCATGTCACTAGAATTTTTTACTTTCGCTTCCACCCGCTTCAATACTCAATTGGTACGAAAGTTTGTTTTCGGTCACCTTCCTTCCAGTAAAGTATTTTTTATTGATTTGGCTCAATTTTATATTTATGTGGTCTGTACGTGGATGAACTAATTGAGTATTTGAAAATGATAGTGGTACAAATATTTGGTTGGTTCTGACGTTAACTTTTTTGTAAACCTCTTCATACTACTTTTTATCGTAAAAAGATTCTCAAATGTCTCATAATTGGACATTTAAATATCTAAACTAACAATTTTGGCCATCGTCTACTTATCCATAAGATGCATCCCTCAGCACGAACTTGTGTCGAAACATCTAAAGTAATTTCAAACAAGTTATAGAAGATATTCTTTCAGTAAAAAATATAATAACAAATGAAAACGGCAAAAATCAAAGTAATCACGTACAATATTTTTATATAGTCTCAAATCTGGTCTTGCTTCCAATGAAATATCTTACTTTCTTGCATGTCTTAATCACTTGATTTTATGTCCTTGTATTTTGCTTACGATTAAACTTTTTACCAAATAAACATATAATTATTTTTGGCTCTAATTATATAAAGCTACTTCAAACAAAGACAGTGTTGATTTTACACTAATAAAATTTTATGTAAATAAAATAAAATAATTTTCCAAAGGGTTGTACACATAATTAAAAATAAATGAAATATCATATTAAATAATTATATATTTTTTTAGAAAATTCCATCCATGACAAAAAAAAATTAATCGGTTATTTTATATTGCAACAAAGATGTTTGTTCCAAAAATTGCTGAATGAATTCATTTTGATCATTTTTTGTAAAAAAAATTTTCCTAAAAATCTAATTAAAATTTTGATCCAATAAATCTAATAAAATATTCTTATTATACAAAATATCTTAGAATTTTCCTAGTTATTTTGTAGTTTTATAGTTAATCTAAGATAATATCAAATTCTTTTTTATTCCTAATTGAATCAAAACCTAAATGATTATAAAAGACATCATTCTTTAAAAGCTGCAATTAATGTCAATAGACCATTGTTGTAAATTTTGTATTTGTTGTTTTTATTTCTAAAGTTTTTTTACTAAACAATGCAAGTAAACAATGCAAGTAAGGCCACAAGCCATGCCTCACACTAACTGTATAGTTTTCTACAATTGTAATGTAAGATCCAAGGCATTTTTTTAGCATACTAAAGAAATGGTTGTAATCCATGATTATAAGTTATAGATGAAAGATTGGCAAGAAGCAATCTTAATTAAATGATATGATAAAAAAAATCTTTTTAGAATTAGGATTTGGTCTAAATAGACAAAAAATGATTGTGTATAGACAATTCTAAGAGGATGCAAGTGAAGGGGTTTCAATACAAAAGTTCTAGAGAGAAAATTGAAGCAACTTAAGTTGAGAGAGGAAAATGGCCTATCATCAGCTCTAGGCAAGTTTAATTAAATACATAGATAACATCTAACTCATGACTTTAAAGAAACAAACTTCTCTAGGGTTTTAAGACGAACTACAAAAGTTTCTTTTTGAAAACCACACTAAGAATAGTTGAAGTTAATTAGGCTTAATATGTATTAAAATCAAATATTTCTATAATCATGTTATTATTATTAAAGATCAACAAAATTAGGATTAATTACCATTCCTTAGAGTTTAATCCTACTAAGTTGTTAATGGTCAAAAGGCAAGAAAGACTCAAAATAAGTTATTAAGGTAGTAGCTAGAGTAAGAAGAATCGAGGGTTTGGTTAGATGAAGTAAAGTAGGATGAAGATGATTGTAGATAAGATTCATTTATATTAGATGTGATCTCTTTCTTATAAGTAAAAGATGTTTGGAAGTGAGAGTCATCTTATACCATACTTCTTTTTTGTTTACAACCTTCTTAATATTAATTGAGGATACTTCACACTTTTTTTTCTTCAATAGGTTAAGTTCTTATATATATTTGTTTGTGATTTTTGAAATTGTTTGAAGAATTTTTTATTATAAGGAATAAATCATCTTATTTTTTTATGATATTAAGATTTGGAATTTTTAAATTTTATTATTTAAATTAAGATTTGAACTTATTTGTGATTAAATGCATTTTGAGTTTGGTATTTGTTATACATATAAAAGAGATGTTTTAGAATACTTATAATTTTTTGTTGAGTTAGCTCTTTGATGTACTAATTTTGTGATTTGAAGTATTAAAGAAGCTGAAGATATTTAAAACACTTCTTATGGTGTTAAGTGGTCATTTGTAATTAAAGAAGTGATCTAAGAGTATTATATTTGATTTGAAACATTTTTATTTTTCATAAAACTTATAAGAAATCTTAAAAAAAAAATTGAGAGTATTTTGAGTAAATTTTTTTTTATATTGATTACAATTAATATTGATAGAACCAATTTTTTTCATACTATTACTTATAGAGGATCAAGAAGAGTGTAGAAGATTCTTTACAACATCTATAAAAGAAAGAAATTATCTAATATTTTCTATATATAAAATAATAATAATAATAATAATAGTAATAAAAACTTCATTTGCAAGATAGAAGAAGGTAAAAACATCAAAGTACACATTAATAAGATAAAGGCACTTGCAAACAAGCTTTCAATTATAAATAAGCTAGTAGAAGATGTGGATTTTGTTATGAATCTACTCATGAGTTTGCCACAATCCTACAACTATTTCATTGTGACATTGAAATCCATAAAAATAAAAGAACTTAAAATAGACTATGTAACAATAAGACTTAATTATTTAATGGCCAATAAAAAAAAAGGATATTTAAAGTGAGGATTTATTACTCTACTTAAGTTAAGACAAAAAGGAGCTACTTAAATCAATAAAATAATATCAAAACTTGCTTTATTTATAAAAAATTATAATAATTTTGTTGATAAGTGGTATAAAAGTAAGAAGATATAAGGAAATGATTCAAACTATATCCAAGACAAGTTTGGATGATGAAATTATATATTCATGGCTAAGAAATGAAGCTATTCTAGTAGTAAATGTGATATTGGTGGCTAATGGTACTGCATTCTATGAAAACTAACTTAGGAATGCTTTGAACATTTAGTTGTGGCTATAGTAGAATTTAAACTTACTTTAAAGTTTGATTTAAAATCTAATACAATACATAAGGTATTTAGAAATATCCTTTTGTATCTTTGAATAATTAAATAAGCTTCAAATTACTCTTATTACATCCTATCATCTTTAGAAAAATCCTAAATGTATCTTATCACATTCTAATAAGTTCTAGATAAATCTTAAAAAATATTTTACATACTTAAATTAAATATTAATAAATCCTTATAAAATTCTAAAATAATACTAATAAAATTCTAATCAAATTTTAATTTAATTCTAATTAAGTTTTAATTAAAAATTAATTAAATCTTAATTAAACATCAATAAAATATAATAAAAATCTTAATCAAATCTTAACTAAATCTTAATAAAATCCTAATAAAATCCTAAATCCTAACAAAATCTTGATAAAAATCTTAAGTAATCATAACCAAACTTAAATCAAATCCTATAATAGATTAAAATCTCAATAACTAAAACTTGAAATATTGAACTTAATTCAAAGCTTTTCTTCTCTCAATATTTTACTTAGAAATAAATACAAAAAAATTCAAGAAGATTGAACTTATTAAAAAAAGAGATAAATTGCATAATTTACTTGAATATTGGTTGGCTTCTTTCTCCAACCTTAATGACAATCCCAAACAATAACATCTCTTCTTTTTACTATTTAATTACTTAAAAATTTTACACAATTATTAAAAATTAAGTTTACTACTAATACAATAAAATTCTTCTTCATCCAATTAGCAAATTGATGCAAATCTTAGAAACTTTTATTGGCCTTTAAAACTCCAATTTTCAAAATTTCAATATACTTGAGTTCTAAAAATTGTTTGATCTAGCTTAAACTTATAATATATATTAAACATAATTATAATCACAAATTCATTAATTTTTATTTGAGATCCACTACAAATCTCATAAAATTCTCTAATATATAAACCTTTTTTGTTTTCCAAATACTAGAGTCATTCCAAAACAATCTTAACTTTGCAAAGCTCTTATAAAGTTATTAAAAACTTAAACCACTCAAAAACAATGGCTTAAGGACCTATTTCTTGTCTATTCTTGAATTCCTTTATTTAATGAACAAAAAAAATTCTTGCATTTGCCATAAGAGTGCAATTTTGTATATTAAGATCTGATTTCTATCCAAGTTTATAACTAGTCCTCTCTAGGTACCAATATCTAATTTTTTTTAGATAACTATTACTAGAAATTACCATTTATTTCTACATTAAAATGCTCATGATACCAATTTTACTAATCTACCTAATTTAAAAGTATATTTTGAAATAAGATCTTTTATAATATATATATATATATATATATATTTTTTCTCTTTTTTACCTATTAGCTATGTTACAATATAACACTGATATACATGAAGCCATTATAATTGACTCTATTATAATAGAGGTGGTTATGAATGGAGAAACCAATTTGATAAAATTTAAAGATGTCCTTCATATACCAAAAATGAAGCAAAATCCACTTTTAGTGAATAAATTTATAATAGGAGATTTTATGATTCATATCAATAGTAATGAATATTTTATGAAAAAATGAATGTAAAGATATGGTTGCTAAGAGATCAAGAGAGAAAAAAATTGTACTACCTCAATAGTAAAAAGATTAATAAAGTTCATGTAGTCGATTTTTTTGAATTTATTGTAGAAGAAAAAAAAATCAATGTATGACATTGTTAATTTTGTTATTTGAATATAAAGAATTCTAATCTATAGTATACAATTCAAATATTAGCAATATAAGCCAAAATATATTAAAGCTTACATGTAAAGGATATAAGACAAAAAATATCATTTAATAAAATTATAATAAAATTCTAACAAAAATCCTTAAAAAATTATAAAAAATTCAAATAAAATCATAAAGATATCTTACAAACCCTAATAGAATCTTAACCAAAATTTAATCAAACCTTACCAATCTTAGAGAAATCTTAAAACATCAATAAATTTTGGTGAATCA